AAATAGTAGCAACACAGAGGTAACAAAATAGCATGTAAACTGTAATCCAGATTTTGTGTAAAATTAAGCATATAAAACAGATCGTAAATACACAGAAAACATTACAAAAATACAGCTGAAACTGTTAACGCTGGTTATCTCTGGGAGCGGAATTGAGGTGATATTTATTTCTTATGCTTTTCTGCTTTTCTTCAATTCCGTGTCATCATCACTGAGGCCCTCCGGAATTCAGCCCTGGACTGATGTTGATATGGCAACCATGCAAAGCTTGACTTATTTTTCATATGCTAAGGGAGATAAGCTACTTGATGGTTATCCATGACAACTGTCAAAAGCCCCAGAATCCACGATTCACTGGGACCCGGGGCCTGGACACCCTCCGGCCACACCTCCAAACCTGACCTTGTCCTCCCACAGCCTGCCTTGAGAAGGAGCTTCTGGGATTTGTTTTCAAGCAAAACCATATACTGAGCCTTGGCTCTCATGCCAAAGAATATGACAGTTTCATACTGATCTTTACAAACCAATCAGATTCTAGAAAGTCACTCAAAAGCTAGGACTCAACCAAAGTAACTATAGATATTCGGAGGTTTTTCCAGATGTTTAAGTTCTATTAAAGTTATTTCTTTGGCACCCACTACTGAAAGTAACAGAATGAGCACACGCTTATACACGTTGTAGAAAGTTAAAGCCACTCATACTCTTTTGGCAAGATTGTTATTTTTCTCAGGCCTCGACCTGCTGGAATAACAGAGTCAGTCCCTTCACGAGGCAGGACACTGGGTTCCTTGATATGTGAGGACGCTCAGTCAGCCCATGACCCTGTTTCCTTTTCCCTTGTCCCACATCTAACCAGTCCCCAGGTCCTACTGTTCAGTGTCTCCTCCTAGGCACCTTGAGGATCCACCCCACCTGCATACTTCTCTCCTGCACCTTGGTCTGGCCCATGGTCGCCTCTCACCTGCATTGCTTCGCCAGTCTTGACCTTGACTGGTGTCTTTAACTCCAGACACCAACCTTCCCACTCCCAACTTCCCCTGATCATGTCACCTCTTGGCTTGACACTCGCGATTTCTAAGTGGCCTCAGAATAAAGTCCCACTTCGTTAGCACGACCCGGAAGACCTCAGGACCAGTCCACTTCACGCCACATACCCCAGCCACCCCATGCTCATGCCCTGATAAGAAGCAGCACCCCATGTGCTTAACTAATTCCTCCCTGAGATGTGGCTCTCGGCTAGAACATGCATCCCATTGCCTCCTGTAGCTCACCAACCTCTACTCAGCCACCCAGCCTCACGCTTGACGTTACCAGCTCTGGACGAACGTTCACGATCTTCTTGTAAGAACAGATACTGCTTTTACGGATCCCATAGCAATCTTGGGATAAAACTGTGTATTTACTCTCTCCCCTGAGCCCCTAAATTCTTTCTGGTCATGGACTGTATCTTGCTAATCTTGGTCACCTAATACCTCACACACTGCCCATCACATCAAAGGCATTCAATTAATACTGATTCCAAAAGAAACAATATGTAGAAGGGCTCGAGGTACACCAAAGATAGAACCCCAGCCATCCTCTGGTCCCCTGGACCCAGGCTTCTAGGTGGTGGTGTTGTTATTGTTTTTAAATTTTTGCAGTGCCATGGATCAAAGTCAGACCTAAAGCATGCTAGGTACTCTGCCACTCTACATTCTACCGCAGAGCTACACCTGTAGTCCCAGACCTTTGGAATTTGATTGGTTCAATTATGTGACCATTTGGGACGTTTCCTCCTTTACCTCTCACATGAAAAAAGAAATAAGGATGATTTGTTTTTCTGAGCTTTTTGTTGCTATTTCCTAGAGGAGATCCCCTCTTTCCTTCTTTCCTTTTGTGTTTCTCCTTTTCCTGTAAGCACATAATAGAAACTTGGGTCCATTAATAGGAAGTTAGACATGCTTATTACTCCAAACGGGATATTCCCAATGCATTTATATCACAGTGGCTCACAAAACAAATGCTTTTTTTCTCCGCATGTGGAAATTAAGCAACAGAATTATGTTTCCAGCCATGTTGACTGCCAAGGTTTACAATTACCAGAGTTAACGTAATTAGATATCTCTTCCTAGTCCATCCCCAGTCTAACAGCTACCCCAAAAAAGAAGGTGTTTGCCTTACAAGGGCACTAAATGTGCAAATATGGGACTTGTATTAAGTCAATCCCATCATTTTGTTTTCAAATTATTTCCCGCTACTAGAAGTTTACAGAGTCATTAAAAGTCTGTGTAATGAAGGAAACTGTTTCCCTGCCTTTCAGCTCACTTAAAGTAACCAAGCACCTTCATCTCCTCCTCCATCCTGGGCTTCAGTTCCCTTCCAACTGCATATATTAACTCCACCTAGTGAGAGTCATTATTTTTGGTGGAAAAGATGGAAGCAAAATAGATTTCTGTAGCTTTAGGGTACCTTCGCTTGATACAGATCCTACTCGCTGCGCTCTCCTCTTTGCTTACCTTTATAACTCTTTTAAGTGTGGTCCACTCAGAAGGCGGCCCCCTGTAGCACATTCTAAGGCGGTGGTGGTGAGCCCATGTACATGCACCACCCTGGGCTGTTTATCATCACCGAAGGCCCTAAAGGACTCAACATCACTGTTCTGAGGTTTTGTGCCATCTTTACATTTGTCTTGTATTACCGTTTTTCTTCCATCTTCATCTATCCGTATTTCTCTCCTTATTACCATGCCCTCACATAACTGAAAAAAGGGGAGCTTGCTTTCTTCAATTGTAATCCTGCCTCTTCAGATTTCTCTGGGGTTGTAACAAAGCCTGTCTTTTCCAGGGCCACGTGGCTATAAGCTCACACCCAATAATATATCTTGTTTTCAAATGCTGCTTTTTGGCAGCTAGTAAGAACATGGATTATTCAATTGCACAGAAATCACAATGCCTGTGGGAGATTTGATTCCTCCTCCCTGAGTTATGGCTGCAATTCTAAATGAGGTGTTTCATTTGGGCTTACACAGAAAGGAGAAACAGAGAAGGGTGAGCACTGAGCTTTCAGAATGCTTTACACTGATCCGTATTATTTTCATCTTCGTGATATTTTTACTTAAGTTTTAGCTGTAAAAGATTATGAAATGAAAGCTGACGGAAGAGCTCCTTGGTAGAGCAATTGTCTAGCACGCATGAGACCTTGGGTTCTATGCCCAGCACCACAAAAAGTAAAATAAAATCATGAAAGAGCCAACTTTGATGGACCTTACTAAATCTACTTTAAATGTATTCTGAAAGTTCACTTTAAACATTTCCTCACATTTTGGGGCAAGGTATGAGATCCAGGTAATGTAAGAAAGCATTTCTGGAAAACTGCAGTGAGACAGTTGATGAACTTCAGCCAAGGCTAAGGCATTACTAAGAGAATCTGCTACCCTGGGACCCTAATTAACTCCAACTGCTGCCTAGAAATCAAGCCAGCAGCTTCTTACAGAAGCCGTTTACAGAAGAGTATAACTTAAAAAGTCTTAGATGGAAAGCACTGTCTTCTGACCACAGGAAAGGACATTAGGGCCCCGAAGAGAGCCTTGCTCTCCACCCCAGCCTTCTGTTCCTTCCTAGTAACTTCCATCTTTTTTAATTTTCCTTTCTCCACTATGGCAGGTGTAATGCACTAGATACCAGAATAGGGAAAGGGCCTCTTCCCACAGGTCCTGCTCGACTTTGTCTCTTTTTCCGTTTTCTGTCTTTTTCTTTCATTCTGATAAGAAAGAAATTCATCTTGCAAAATTGTAACTTTATACCAGTTGACCAGTTCCTTCCCACCGCCACCCCCACACAGGCATATATACTCACACCAGTTCCTGGCAACCTACATTTTACCTCTTTTTTTTTTTTTCTTTTTCTTGGTACCAGGGATGGAACTCAGCACCAGGCAGGCACTGTTGCTAATGAGCTGCGTCCTTGGCCTATTCTGCCTCTTTCTATAGTTTACATTATTAGATACCTCGGATGATTGGAACCCTGCAGCATTCATCCCTGCGTGACTAGCTTCCTAGCATCCTGACCTCTAACCTCACATCCACCGCCACAATGACAAGATTTCCTAAGACTAATGACAGCCTAATGTATGTGCAGAGTGCCTTTTCTTTATCCAGAAGTTTAAGTGGTTTTGTACAGAAACCTACCATGATCTAAGTACGCTCTCTCCCTTTAACAGACACGTGTCCCCTGAACGGGTACAGACAGTTCTTCTCAGGCCTACTTCCCAGGTGTTCCATCCCCATATCTCTCTGGAGGAATGAAAATGTGCCTGGTAACTGTGACTTTATTATACAATAGCATGCAGAGTCGAGCTCCTGACCCTGAGCTAGTGAGGGCTACAGAAGGACTGCTCCAGGCAACAGGACCATCAGCATCTACCCCAGTCAGCTGCATTAGGGCACTTTACTGCGTGTTGTCTACACACAGATTGTCAAGGGTGCAGATAGGAATGGCACCTCGCTCCCACTTCCTCCAGACCTGCAGAGCACTTACAGCAAAAGGCTGCTTTTGGACAATGAAAGAGTCCCCTGTGTGATATCAGGGTGTCTCTGTTCACGAAATTACACACCACTTAGGAGTGTCCTGGTTCTGAAGTCCATGTGTAAAATCTGACCTTGAGCTTATCTGCCAATCACTTAGTATAGAGCTTTTCGTTTCTCTATCAATTTCGTAGACACCTGCGTGCATCTCTGGGCAAAAAGAGATAAAATTACTTAATGAAAACATTCTTGTGATCCAGTCTTCACTCAAGAATAGGTTGTAGGAAGCTTTCTCTGTTGGTTCCCTACAGGTGATGCTTAAGTTTATGTGTAAGAAAGAAACTATTGTGGCATCATTCAGCATTTAACAAAGGCAGCGGCTCCTATCAAATGCTCCTTCACCAAGAGCTACTTTAAGAACTTTGATTTTGTTTTTTTGATTTGTTTTTTTGTTGTTATTGTTGTTGTTGTCGTTGTTGTTGTTTTGGTACCGGGCATTGAACTCGGGTCCTTGAGCTTACAAGGCAGGCCACCGAACCGCTGAGCTAAATCCCCGGCCCTAGAACTCTAATTTTAAAGAAGGACTCTGAAATGTCACTGCTTCCTCAAGACACACGGAAAAAGTCCTGAAATGAAGACAGGGCTCAGGGTTTTATATCTCAGTGGGATCTATGCTGTCTCTCCCTGGGTATAACTTTGGATAACTGTTTCCCATCTCTGCTTCAGTTCCAATTTCAGTCAAGTGGGAAATAAAAACATACGTCCCAGCTCGCCCTGCAGCTGTGAGAAAGCTCTGTGTGACTTCCCTGAACACAGCAGCACAAGCAATAATGAACACGATGAATTCTCCATAGTAACAGTGGTCTCAAGGAACCTTTACCTTGCCATGGAAATGAGGCAGGCGTCTATCACAAAACTCAACTACATACAAGTCCCAAATGCCCAGATTTGAATAGGGTACCAGATGCCCTACTAGGTACTCGGCAGGGACTCGCACACCAGGACCTAGCACCGTCCCTGTCCCCGCAGTGGATGCCTAGGGACAGACTAGTTTTCCGTGAGCTCCACTGTGCACTGGGGCTCTGGCCACTGAGCCTGCTCCTGCCGCAGACAAGAAAAACAGATGTGGAAAAGCAACATTCTGAACTGCTCATGTGGCGGCCACATAAGCTGAGAGCCAAGCAGCAAAGACACACGTTCTTGGGTCGGGCTCACCTCATCTTCTTGATTCCTTCCCCATTTCTTCTTGCCAAAGTCAGACGGTACACAAAGAGAGTACCTTTTCGTGAGAAATATAAGACTCTGTTGACAGACCGGACAGACATAATCATACATACTATTTAAGAAAGCAAGCACATTATTAAGAGTTGATTTAATGTATTGTTTCTAGTGCACTTCTTCTCTTGCCAAGACAGAATACGACAGACAGTGAAAATAATAAAAGTAGGAGACTGAAGTATACAGTGAGATATATAGAAATCTACAGGTAAGAATTCTAATGCGCTGAGAGATCTTGACCAAAAAAAGATTTCATTCCAAGTAGACGCTAATTTTAATGCAAATGCAAGATGTGCCGTTGTCCCCAAGACTACAACTTCAAGTAGGTAGAGTGTGATTATGAGACGTTACTCTTGGTTAAAATTTCTATTTCAAAGGCAAGCATGCCTTGGCGGCAACAATCATTACACTTAATTCAGGTGATCCAAACCGTGGAAAAATACAAAATATTCACTCTACCTCATCCCTCTACTTTTACTGAACAACATGTGTGCTGTGTTTATAAACTGCAGCCCCTGATGATGGGAAATTCACTACAGCAAACCAAACACAGTGTGTTACGTTTAGTTTACAGCATGCCTCTTCTGCTCAGAACAAGAAAAATCAACTATCCAGCAGATACTAGGACTGACTGCCTTGCAGCAGCAGTGTGGCGTGATAAAAAATAAAATAATAACATCATTGACTATCCCAATAAAACCAAAGTCCAATTCAAAATTCATCTTCAGAGCTGTCGGCTAAAAGCATTACTCGATCTTGCATGCTGTTGAATTCTCTCTGCCAGAAAGAGAAAATAGAAAAAGCATTAAATTCCCTCTCTTGCAGAACCAAGCTGGGGTACAGGCTCACTTTAAAAGGCACAGTAATGAAAGGACCCAAGGCAGGGATGCAGCAGCTAATCCCAACCACTGGGCATGTCAGGATGTACGGTTCATGCACCACTAAGCCTCATGTGCTTTACTAAGAAAATTAGATAAGCATAAGAGAAGAATGTTCTGAAACCAATTAGGTTTTACTCTTGGTTCCGTACCTTTCTTTTGTGCCTTTTGAAGCCATTTCTCCTTCGGCGATTCATAACCTTAATGCTGTAGAGCGCTCCCAAGATGAACAAGGCTCCAGCTATCCCCACTCCTACAGGCACCAGCATCCCAGACATGTAGCCAGCCTGCAGACAAAGAAACTTGCATCAGGGTTCTGAACAGACCGGCCCAGGGTCCTCACTTCTGCCTAGCAACAGCAGATTTTTCAGGGACTTTGCAATCTCCAGTCTACTTTATTATAAAATATAATGGAATCTAGAAGAAAGCTACTGTTCTTAGGAAAAGGTAGCAGAGAGAGGCATGACAATTTGGAGGAATATTTAAAATACTTAAGAATAAGTTCTGAAATAAATCAACAAGATCTAGTGGCCCCTCCAGCTACTTGCATATGAACATTTGTCAACATCAGACTTTGATGCCAGAAATGTAATTTGTATTAAAGATGGATGATGTGAGCTTCTGAGAACGCCGGACAATCAAAAGGCTCTAAATTAGAAATGGCCTGAGCAGAGGCGAGAGGGGCTAAAGTGTCATATGGAACAATGTGTTCCTTGGACAGTAGAAGGGCCTCAACTGTGGTGCTTTTCTCTCTCCCTCTCCCTCTCTCTCCCTCTCTCTCCCCCCACCCCGCTTCACCTCAGTATGAAAGTAAAGATGAATACTACTCAGCCATAAAGAATGAGAAATTAGATTCATTCACAGGAAAATGGATACATATTGAGGATATACTCCTAAGTGAAATGTGAAATAGGAAGAAAAGGGCTAAAGGTGTAGGGAAAGTGGGAAGGGTGGGGGAAAGGAAATAAGGGAAAGAAAAAAATGTGAGAAAATGAAAAAATGGAGATGAAGTGTTTGCAAATGGGGATGGGAGGAGGGGGTGAAGGGAGGGCAGGGACAAGGGGAAAACTGAGAACCAAGACCTGTCATGTAGAGGTACAAGATCCCAGTGATGAATGTAACTGTACTGTGTACCTAAAATGTACCACGAAACTCAATAAAAGAAAAAAAAAAGACAAGGACAGGAAGGGTCTCCTAACATGGACAGACTGTTTCCACAGAAGGGAGGATCTGCCCCGTGGACAGGACTGAAGCTGGGATTTAGGAGAGGATTCTGAGTGTCCCCAGACCCAAACAAAGGCAGTGATAGAAAGGGGAACAAAAATCACTACCAGCAGTGATCCTGCCTGCTGACCCCAAAAGAGTCTGAAGGCATCAAACCTAGGTGATGTCTTCAACATCCCCAAGGGTCACTATAGATACCTCAATCCTAAGAGAGCAGTTTGAGCCCCATACTTTCCTGGGCTTGAGAAAGTAGCTCAGAACCCAGCGAAGCCTGGGGCAAGGCCACTGTACGGAGAACCATCCCTGTACCCTGGCCCCTAAGTCCCCTATGGGCTGGAGGGACATACCAACACAGAGCCCTTTCGTGGGTTTGCCCCCCTAACAGCTGATCCAGACAAACTACATGAGTGATTAAAATTTTAACAGCTGAAATAAATACTTTAGAGAAGCATTATTTGGAGGAGGGAGTCCATTGATTCGTTTGCCTTAAATTTCTAATATAGCTCAAACCATTTCCTGTGTCTTTCAGAATGAGCCAAAAGCAGAGAGAGAGAGAGAGAGAGAGAGAGAATAAAACTGTCCAAACAGGGCTGATGTTTGCAAATTGTGACGCTTCCCCAACATTTCTAGAGTGAAAGGAGGAAGAGATGAAACTTTACAAAAAGGCAGCACCCTCTTCGTGTGCAAAGCCTGCTTCCTCATTGACTCCGTCCTCCAGAGCCTTAAGTGAGGGCAAAACATGGAAATTTTCCCATTAATCTGGGAACAATGGCATTTCTCATCAGCATACTAAGTATTTTTCCCCTGGGAAACAAAGCCCAGTCATTCTTCAGCATATTAAAATGTTTTAAAGAGGCCCCAACTTTTTCTAAGCTCCACTTCAGGCTTATAAAAACTGTGTAATTTTCCACCTAGGAAAACACCGGGAAATTTTTTTAAAAATTTTGCCGCCCTCGCCAGAAATATGAATTTCTAAAAAGTAGCGTTCCCGGTGCATGGAAACAGAAGTGTGCACAATGAAACGCAGCTAAGGACTGAGGTTAAATCCAGTAGAGGGAGCTTTTCAGAACTGCCCGTCAGTGGATGTTACTCGGCCTTTTGCAAGACCAACCTGACCAGCCAATGCATGCATCAGCACCCGCCAGACCTGCTACAACACAGATCCTGGGCCCAGGCAGCCAAGGCGGGTGCTGAGAATGAGCATTCCTAAAAACTCAGTGCCACTGAACCAGTGCACACTGCAAACTGTTGCCGTGAAGTATAACCTGAGGCTTTCGTTTGCCGGATGCAGGACACGGTGGGTGACAGGACAAAAGGGCTGGCTTTCGTCACACAATTAAAACTGTTACTGTGTCTCCCATTTTAAGAAGTAATTTAGGTACTGGAAAACTGCACCACTAGGTAGCCCCGTTAGGATTTACCTCACAAGCCTCACCAACTTGGACTTTTAACTGGGAGGGCTGGGGTCCCTCAGTGTCCATTTCCCTTATTCTAGCTAGAAAGCTTCTGGTTCTGTGCTGGGCACATCATAAAGATCACCGCTCCCTGCCATCCATAAATTTTGACGTGGCCAGATAATAAATTTCAGCAAGAAGGTGAGATGTCAGTGGTACATACAAAGTCTAGGCATGGTCTTGAGGAGGGCAGCAGAACCTTTACTGTCCTCCTTTAAGAATGACAGAGGGGGTAGGGAAAGGAAACAAGGGAAGAGAAAAAATATGAAAAAAGAAGAAAATGGAAGCCAAGTCTTGTAAACAGGGAAGGGTGAAAGAGGTGAAGGGCAGGGAAATGGGGAAAAAATAAGAACCAAGATGCAACATGTAAAGGTACAAGATCCCAACGATGAACGTAACTGCTTTGTTTACTTTAAAGGTACCAATAAATTTAATTTTTAAAATTTAATTAAAAAAAAGAATGACAGAGGGCCTCAATCAGTACTTTTGTTTCTTGTTGGTTTTGTTTTGTTTACAGTACCAGAAATGGCACATGAGGCCTTTGCACTAATCTACACCCCCAGCCCTTTTTTACTTCAAAACATAAATAGAAATAGGGACTCACTACATCATTAAATTGCCCAGGCTGTGCTACAACTTGTGATCCTCCTGCCTCAGCCCCCCAGAGTGCTGGGATCACAGATGTGTACCACCATGTCCGACTTGTACATACTTTCACAAAGGAAAGAGCATTTTTTAGCCTCCCCTTTATTCTCCCTGCTTCCGGCTAGAAGTGGACATAGTTTGGTCGCAGCTGCCATCCAGGACCATGACATGGCCTCGGGAATGGGGTCGTGAGTGCTGCAGCCCTGTCACGTGTCCTTCTTCATTAGTCCTTTACTAAAGCTCCAGATCGGTGCATGAGAAGCGGGGGCCTAAGTAAGTCACTGTCACCAAAGGCTGTCGTCTTTCCCAGATAATCTTACTACTAACTGGTATGGAGAGACTCAACAAGAAAAGGAACAATGGAGAACTTTCTAGAGCTTGGATAATTCACGGGAACCCAATACAGTGGCGCCTCGCTTCACAGACTTAATTCTTGCCATGATTCCAGTTGCAGAATTTCCTCCACCATTCTGATTTCTGTAACCATAATCTCGGGAAGAATTCAGTTTGTGAAGCGAGGTACCACTGTCTTGGAACAACTAATGAAGCTAAACTGAAGTCCTGGCTTGGCTGAAGAGGCCAGTTTAATACATAGCTTCGTTTACATCGCTAAGGGATTTAGAGGCTTTTGTCACAGACACAGCTGTTACATCTTGAAGTAGTTTTTAAAGGTGATGACTAACAAGATACTTACAGAGGACAGGCAGGGCAGGGAGTGAGGCAAGAAGGACGAGAGAGATGCATAGTCTATGTGTGAACCACAGACACAGCTGTGTGAGTACATCTTATTTCAAGCGTGAATGAAGGAGGGATATGGGAAGATTAGAATGAGCTCCTCCAAGGAAGAATCAGAAGAAGATACGGGCATCACATAAGACAACTGCTTCGGAATCTCAACTTAAATCTTCTTCCAATTTTTTTTTAAGACATACTAAAAAAAATTCCCGAAAAATTGAAAAAAAGAGCTGGAAAAGCTTCAAAACAAGCCAGAAAATGAGTCACACATAAAATTGTGTCTTTTAATAAAAAGAAGCAGTGACAAGGTTCCAGATTTCTGAATGAGAGCTTCATAGGAGTAAAAAATATTACGTTCCCTAAAGCTGCACAGATCTTCAAAGAGAAGGATGAGAATATTTAGGTAATTAAGTCTGCAGGAGCAAACTTTAGAGCAATTATATGCCAAAATTTATTTCTTAAATCGTTTTGTTCTTTTTGGTAACTCAGAAGGATGTTTTTCTACAGAAACAATTACTTTTGGGTTCCTACGTTATCTCGTTTTCCACTGACGAATAACAAGAAGGACTATCAATGTAAATTCATCCAATTCTAAATTCACAAGTCCTCTTCACCCAAGCTTATCTCAGTCTATCTGATCATACCCTCTTTGGACAAATGGATCTATTATAAATATCAGAGTTATTATCGCTTCTCAGCCTTTTGGCTAAGATCAAGTATAATATCAGAGTTGTTTTCACCTGCCTGAACAGCCTGAATGCTTTCAATACCAGTTTTAATATACACAAAACAGTCTCATCCTCAAAAACTTAACCAGAAAAATAACAGTGAAAATAAAGTTACATAATTTTATTTGCAACTGAATGTTCCCTTTTAATCTTTACCAGTAAGCTATAACTCCAAATAATAAAAAAGTATATGGAATATCATAAATGAAAATACATCGAAACTGGAAAATTGGAAGTAACTCAATATCTGACCATTAAAAAGGTTTCCGTTTAACTGAAACCCCACTTAAATCTGAGCTGGGTTATGCTAATGGAACCTGAGTTGGCCACGCCAAGGGATTCAAACTCCATCAAATATTTTTATGAGCAATTCCAGTTTAAAATTATGAACTAACCAAAAGTGAAAGCCTAGAAAGGGTTTAAAATCAAAAGAAAATGAAAATAGGAGCTTGGGAGGAAGTTAATGCTGTCAGTCACTGCACAGGCAGAACTAATACAAGAGAGAAACACATTCTCCATGGCTCGTTATCCAGATAGGTCGGCTCATTAACACTTGGGGGAAGCAGCTCTGCGATAAGCCCCACATCCACCTTCTTATCATCTCATACTGGGGCAAGAGCTGCCCTAAACAGATCTGGGTAGTGCTGGGAAATTTCCTAAGAGAAAACCCACCCGGGTATGTTATTCAGGGGCGCACACCAACCAAGGTAAATTCTTTTACCTTTGTAAGTATTAACTGTGCTACAAAGAACAAGGTGCCTCCTGTGTTCTACAGAGTGCAAGTTAAAAGGGAACGCTTTCTCACCGGGCACCTGGGAGGGGCCCTATAGGTCTGCACAGAGAAACGGAATCAGAGTAACCAAGTTCCACTACTCTACATCTGTTTCCCAAAGGTGTACGCCCTGCAAGATAACTCCAGAGGCAGAGAAGCCTTTTCTTACCTTGTCTTTGAGTTTTTCCATCCAGCTTCTCACTAGAAAAATCAGAGAATAAAATATAAATAGCCATATTTGTCTTATATTTTGTAGTATTAACTTGACACACTGAAGGAATTTTTGTGTGAAGTACAGTGAAAATGTCAACAGTATTAATGTAATGACAGCAATGGTCTTACTTTTATTCCCACTTGTTCAGAAACACAACTGCAAGCACAAAACTCCCTCACATCCTTACCAGGTGAGCAGAGAATATTTCTGTTTGTTAAGTATTTTTTTATTTATTATTCAGTGCTTTGGGGGCAATCTGAGAGAAGGCACAGGAGATCACCTTGAAAATATCTTGTTCATTTTTCTTCACACATTTTTCTTTAGCCTCACTTCTCATCTTTCTTGGTTTTAAGCTCAGCGAGAATGCCGTACTCGCATAATGTCAGAGGGCAGAGAAGGAGGTAGAAGAGGGCAGTGGGCAGGGCAGGGCAGCCCAGCCCTGGCTACAGAGAGGCCCACTAGAAACTGTATTTGGTATGGAAGAATCTGACAAAGGCAAGGACGAGAAGAGATTATATATAATATAATATTATATAATATGTATTACATTTATATAATATATATAAGCATATATAGTGTATACATGTGTGTACATATGTATGTACATGTGTGTATGTATGTGTATATAAGTATATATATCTTATGAATTGCACTCCTCTGACAACATAATCACTATGAATAATAAAAATAATCATCTAGCAATATTTATAAAAGCTAAGTGGAAAAGACTAGATCAGCTATGACATTTTATGTAGATCATGATGACAATCATCTAGAAATACAGAATATTAGAATGGCCCTGTTAAATATGGTTTGAGGTTGGTGGGGGACATTTCACTTTGAATGTTATAACATTGTTCAACTCTGAATACAGATTTCTTTCCCAGTACTGGGGACTGAACTCTGGGCCTTCCACACACTAAACAAGCACTCTGCCACTGAGGTTCAACTTTTTATTATTATTATTAATTTTTTGAGACAAGAGTTTGCTAAATTGTCCAGGCTGGCCTCAAAGTTGCAATCAAAAGGAGAGAAAGGACAAATATATGCTCATTTTACCTTTATTATCAAACAAAAGGAATCAATTAAAAAATCTTAAAGATCTCTTTAAATTTTCTTTCTCTTCTGGAAACTTCAACGGGTAAAAAAACAGGGAAGAGAGTAGCAATCTTTCTTGTGCAGCTCAACAGCAACTATCTTAGGTTTTGTGTGGTGTATAAACTGTCCCATTTCTGCTACTGTAGCACAAAAACAGCTACAGACAGTAAGTACATGCATAAACGAGTTCAGCTATGTGCCAGTGAACTTTATTTGCAGGCACTGATATATCAATGTCATGTCATTTTCTATATGTCATAAACATTTTCTTCCTGGGTTTTTTAATCATATTAAAATGCAAAAAAAATCATTCTTTGCTCACTCCCCATTATAGAAATAGAGGACACATCCCTGGAATGAACATATTTTATGGATATTGGCCTCCAGTAATCACATACCTGACGATACTGACAAGGGAGCAAGCACACACAGCTCAACCCCTTATAGAGAACATCACATCTCTCATCACTTGACCAAAAACTAACAAGCGTGACAGTTGGATAAGATTGTGCTTAGGGGAAAGATGGAGAAACCGAGCTGAGAGATGCCAAGAGACTTGCCCAAAGTTAGCCAGTGAAAGTCCCTGAAATTCAAGCCTGATTTAACAATCCAGAAGCAAGACTGCCCTATCACCAGTTTCTCTTGGTGATCCCGACACTCTTCCTTTCCCCTGAGCTGAAGAGGTGGGGACACACTCGGCTCTTCAAGCTCCTTCAGTTCCTGTCTCCATTCTCCCACATAAAGACCTCGTCAAGACCTCCCAGCTTTCTTCTTCCCTCACAACTCCCTCTGTCACAACTGGGATTCGGACAGAGAGAGTGACGACTGATTAAGATGAGATCAGGGTCAAGGGAAGGTCAGAAGAAACAAGTCCAGGAATTTGGGATGAGGCCAAGGTTATGGGGTCAGAAGTAAAATCCACCACCAACTCACTGTGGGCCCACAGCTTCCTCTTGTATGAAACAGAGAGGGCAATGGATGTCTTGAAAGATTACTGAAAATATTGCAAGTAACATATGCAAAGCTTTAGTAATAACAGAGAGGCTAGAAAACAATTTTTTAAAAAAATGACTTCTAAGAAACAAAACAAGTAAAAAAAGGAGTACTGTGTCCAAGACATAGATTTAAATTCAAGCAAGAAGTTATTTTCAATCCATTAAATAGGTATTTATTATGCACAATGTGTTTGATCAGACACTGTACTGTACATTGGGTCAGCAAAAGTCACAGAACTAAATCCCAGTGAGAAAAGGGTTAGGGCATCAAGTCCGCAATGAACAGTGGGTGACAAGCAGAAAAGCAGGATGGAGAGAATGAGGGACAGAGCAAGAAAGCCAACTCCTGGGTAAAACCCCTATCTTGAGTTTGATGTCTGGAGTAGGGGAGCAGACCAGGCGCTACCCAGAGCCCAGAGAGGGGAAGGCCCAGGTGTGTTGATACGAGTGTCCACTGACATGCAGGAGGCAAGGGGGGTGCCGGCTGCAGGTAGATGGCAGAGTAGGGGTGGCTCAGAGAAGAGGAGATGGAGATAAAGACTACACCAGGGTCTGGGGCACCTACTGGCTTTTGCACTGAAGGAGAACCACTGCCAAGAGGGATATTTCAACGTAGGCCTCGCCAAGCCGGTCTTCGCTGAGAAACTGCCCATATCTGAAGTTCTCAGCTTCTGAGTCCTGCCCTGGATGATTTTCTAACAGAATAATTCTTTACCAGAAATGGGAAGGCATACAGGATGCTCCCATATGCACAGGCAATTTGAAAGTGCTTATGGGCTGAGGATTTAGCTCAGTGGTTCTGCTGTCTGCCTTGCAAGCACGAGGACCTGAGTTCGATCCCGGGTACAAAAATGAAAGTACATATTTCATGGACCCAGTCTTGTAACTTCCACAACAGACAAGAAAGCTGGGAAAAATCTAGAAAAGAAAGCCCCAGTGGGACAGGTGAAATACAGAGGATAGCAAAAAAGTACTTTGGTGGTCACAGGTCCAAAAAGGTCAAGACACTCTTTTCTCAGAATCCATGAGTTTGGTTGTGTTTCCCCAACTAAACATGCAAGACCCCCAAGAGACGGGCCTTGGAGTTCTCAGGCCACTGCCAGGGACCTTAGCATGGTACTGGATACTTAAGTGCTTAATAAATATCTCTCCCTCCTTCAGCAACACTGGCACTTTTAAGGGCATTCACAATTTTTCTGTAAGCGGGATTCTCTTTTATAAGGATTCTGTAAATTGTTTCCAATAAAACATTCAAAGTAGAATAAAACATAAATAAAATAAAAATAAACTTTACACAGTGATCATTTTAACATTTTATGACAGAAGTTGCTAAAAGAATGCAAAGGCAAGAGGAGAGAAAATAAGAAAGATTTTAATAAAAATAAAAGACAATTATAAAGAAGAGAAACCAACAACTGCATTTTTTTAAAAATAGAGAAACATGGGTAAAAGGATGAAATGATACTATTTTTCAGAGATATGGAGGTAGGTGAAGATCTACAATCAGTATCAAAGGGTTTAAAAATTAAATATTCTATTCAGTTAATCATGGATTTGTACAAAAATTTTGTATAAATTATAGTCGTTGCAACACTAATAATAGAAAAATGTAAGTAATATCAGTATTCAAAGATAAGAGTATTGGTTTAAAAACTCAAAGGGAAAAACTTTAGGCTATGTCTACTGAGTGGAGTACAACATGAAGCTAAAATTATTTAAAGGAGAATACTTAGTTATGAGCCCAAGTTCATAGAGGTAAAAATACTCCGTTGGGTGGGCTGTGGCTCAATAGTCCAGCATGTGTTTAGCATGCATGAGCTTCCAGGCTCAACCCTTGGGGCCAAAAAAAGGCATGAATATTAGAACAATATACATCAAAACACTAACTGCAGATTGATTGCCCAGACCCAGCGCCAAGAGGGTGAGCTTTGCCACAGCACCCCAGCTTGAACTTCAGATTCCCCTCTGCCACGTGGCCAGCAGATCCCATAGCCACGCCTTTCCCTGTGGGCACCATTGATTGCCTGGACCAGCGCCAGGAGGGTAGCTGCACGGGCACCACTGAGCACCCACCCACCCCCACCCCGGCTCTCAGATCCCCTAATTGTGCCAGTCCTTGGACGCACTCTGCAAAGGCATGGCTGGCTATAAAGGGTGGTGACTGATCCTACTGTGTTCTTGATTGTATCAATTGGGATAAGGGATAGGGATTGATTTGATGAGTTGTTTTCTCAATTATGAAAATGAGAATGTCTATAAGTCATTAGAGAATCAAAGGCTGGATACACAAGGATATCAGGAAGATTTAATGACCCACAGATTGAATCAAGGGCAACCCAACAGCAAATATAAAGATGAGAAAACACTTAAGGAAGACACGAAGACAGACTTCCAGTCCACCAATGGCAAACAGTAGGGCAAAGGAAGATGAAAAGTCTGATAGTGAACCACCAGGACACTCTGAACTCACAGCACAGGAAGTAACAAAACTGATCAATCAAGCTCTAGAAAATTTCAAAAGAGAAATAATTTCCCAGATAACCAAAGAGATGGTGAGCAAAATAAAAGACATGATTCGAGACTCCAGAACAGAAACTGACAAAAAAATAGATGATCTTAGGAACATAATAGAAACCATGAAGGCCCAGCATAAGAAAGAAATGGAAACAATGAACACCCAACATAGGAAAGAAATAGAATCCATTAAACAAATATCCAGGAGATTAAACACTCCATTGAAGTGTATGCAACAGAATAAAAGAAGGTGAAGATAGAATCTCAGATATAGAAGATAGGATCGCAGACAGTGACCATGAAAAGAGAGGTCTCTTAAAAACAGTAAGGGATCATGAGAAATCAATCCAACAACTCCTAGATGATGCAAAGAAGAATAA